TCAACCCTGAGCCGGTGAGATTTGAACCGCTGAACTGCTGATCTAGCAGTAGCCTGCAGTGCTGCATTTAACCACTGCACCACCTTGGCTCTATAACATGGTTATCCAACCTTTTGGCTAGTCTGGGCTGCACTAAGTGAAGAGGAATTGTCTTGAACCACATATAATTGTGTGTGTAAGAGAGGGAGGGAGGGAGGGAGAGAGAGGGGGGAGGGAGAGGGAGAGAGGCCTAGATATTTAGCCTGGTAAATGCATTGACAACCCAGTCAACCTAAATATGGGACGGAGCATATTGCTTCCACTTTAGCCTTTCAGCCCCAATCCAGGAGCCTTCGCAGGCAGTCACTTCCATGACATTTTGTGTTAAATTTCAATTTACCAATAAAGAAATAACTAGTATAGCTATTTCAAGCTGTTTGGCTCTCATCAGCTAGCCATACCTTTCAGGGATTCCAACCAGTGGTGAAATGCAAAATTTTATACTACTGGTTCTGTAGATGTGGCTTGGTGGGTGTGGCAGGGGAAGGATACTGCAAAATCCCCTTCCCACCCCACTCTGGGGCCAGCCAGAGATGGTATTTTCCGGTTCTCCGAACTACTCAAAATTTCTGCTACTGGTTCTCCAGAACCTGTCAGAACCTTCTGAATTTCACCCCTGATTCCAACCCAGGCCACTTGCATATTAGGCAGATGTATTAACCTCTAGGCTATGGGCTCTCCTCACTTTGTCAGCTGTACTAGGGTGGTGGTGGGAGATTAAGTATTTTTCCGATGAGATCAGTCTATCAGATCAACCTGGTCTCCCCTAATATGGAATGGAGCATATTGCTTCCACTTTCCACATTGACGGAGTTATGGAGTTATTTCTTCTTCTTGAAAGTTGCCAGTCACAAAATACAAGTATTGATATAAAAGAAAGGCAAAATGTACAGCAGTGCTTGAAGCAACAGAAGTTGGAAAATGGTACTTACAAGAGAAGCAGGAGCATGGACCTGGAAGCTGCTTTTGAGGTGGTAAGCAGCAAGCAGATTTGTCTATTTCTGCCAACCAAAAATGGTTACTGGCCCATACTGACAGAGGAGTAACCTCGCAATAGTGATACACCTTTAATATTTGCTATCCTGAACCCTGAGCAACTACAAAAACAAATAAATAAATGAAACTTTTGCCCCAGTGTTGAAGCTTCTTTAATTTGGCAGTGAGAAAATGTGTTGGGAGAGCTGTTGTCATTTAGATAAAAGTTTTATTGGAAAAACCCCAGAGTCATAGGAATTTATAGCAGTGCCTTAAACTCTTGAATTCATTGTGGCTTGATCCTTCCCAATACCATGCATTGCCCTCTAATTAATCTGTTGCAGATTTTAACATTTTTTTCTCTCATTCAGTTTCTCTACTTGGCCTCTATTTTATAATCAAGACTTTCCTTCTGACTACATACAGCATATGAACACATACAAGTGCAAAGATCTTTGGCAAGAAGTCTTTATTTGGCCAACAAAAAGTGATAATGATGATCATGGGGGTCAATGGAATTTGAAGGAGATGAACCAAATTAATACTTAATGAAAATCTTTTGGGGGGGGATGCTCCCCCAAAACAATATTAAAGTTAGTCTGTTTTCCCACAAATTAGAAAATATAAATTCTGTAATGGACTAATGAAAGAAGGGAAATTGATATCATTAGAGTGTCTCAATGTCAGCTGAAACTTTCACTGAATTTGGTAGCTGGGGTAATTTTTCACGCATGTGTGTGTGAGAGAAGAAAACTTTGGTTGATGAACAGTAAACTCATTGGTAACATGGCAAGCTAGCTTTTCTCAAAACAGATAATTTGTCCGCCTGGCCAATTATTACGGTACCTACTGAGTTGTGGGGCAGCCCTTCATGCTTCTGCATCTACGGTAACTTCTTCCAGTCAGCTGATACTCTTCTGTGATTGGAAAACCTCCAGCAAGCAATAAACTGTTTTGTTATAAAGTTGTGTTCCTTTTGCACCATACTGTTCTCTAAATTCTACATAGATGGAAACTCTCTATAATGAAGCTATGGATTTAGGTCACAGGTTAACAAAATAATAGAGTCGGAAGGAACCTTGGAGATCTTCTAGTCCAANCTCTGAACCTGTCTCTAGGAAACTGCCTATCCCTCTGCCTGTGGAACCTGGGGTTCTGGTACCTCTGGTTCCGGGCCTCCGATTTAGGCAGGTGGTACGAAGTTCTCCTGGGGTACGGAGCATACCGGATATCTGACCGTCTGGTGGTTGCCGGGAAGACCTTCCATTTGTTCTTATCCACCACCAGGATAGGATCCAGTGCAGTCCCGAACAGCTTGTCCCCGGTGTAGTCTGCTCCTGTCAAGTGCCACTTAGCCCGGGACTCCGCCTGCCAGTGGCGCAAGATGACATTGCCTGAGATGCATACTTAACTGCATCCAGGGTGGCATCTGCTGAGAACTGCGTGGCAGCCAGCATCTTAGAGATGTCCTGCAGCAATCGAACTTCCGTGGCCGGAGTCCTGTCCCTCAGCTGTTCCAACCACAGCACTGTGGACCTGTTGAAGAAAGACACTGAAGCGGCTGCCCTAGTGGCCCAGGTTATTGCTTGGAAAGTCTTACATAGCACGATGTCCGCCTTCTTATCCTCTGCCTTAAGGCAGTTGGTGATGTCTCCTGTGACCACAGTTGATGCAGAAGCTAAGGTAGCAACCGGGGTGTCCACCTCGGGAACCTGGAGAGCTTGGGCAAAGGTTAAGATTATAGAATCTCCTCTCATTTCCCCCTGGATTGGGGAAGGAACCTGGCTTAACCCACTGGGATTTAAGCACCTCTAAAAACATATCTGGAGTAGGAAACTCCTTTTCCACCAGTGGTCTATGAAGGGGCCCCTTCCTGTTACCCCTGCTAGTGCTAGGCATGTCAGATGCAGGCCTGGGATCTGTGGGGGGGTCCAGGTCTGCAGTGGCCCTTGCATTATGAAGCAAGGAGCTAAATAAGGAGGGGGGGATGCCAGCGATGTTTGGGGCCATCTCTGCCTGGGCCTCCTCATCTTCAGAAAACCCTACCTCCTTCAACCCTCCCTCCTCTAACTCCGAAGCCTCACTGGCAGTAGAGGGAGAGGGGGACCTGGCCCCTCTGGCAGCAGATGCACTGGGCGGTCCTGGTGGCCCCTGGGTTGGTCCCGGGAAGATCTACCCATGGAGCTCTGGGGCTGGTGCTTCATCCCAGAAGAGATCCCTTGGGCTATGGCCCTGGCTAGCACCTCCTGAAAGCTGGTGGGAAGCTCAGGCAAGGCAGGATGGAGTTCTGGAGGCTCTGAATATTCCCTGGGTTCAGGGGATTGCAGTGCCAACCGATGCCTAGCTGGGCTGGGTGCCCTGTGCCCAAAAGGGTCACCCCTAGGCTCAGACGTATGTGCAGGCAATAAGGGGGGCGATAGGGAGCTGTGCCTCTGCCTGAGCCCTTGGGGAACCTGGGGATGCTGCCCGGGCCTCATCCAGGGCTGGAAGCCTGCGGGGGGATCGGGACCTGAAGGGGGAGGGGTTGATGGTAGCCCTAAATCATCTAGCAGAGGCCCTGGTGATCCTAACCTCCTTCTCGGAGGTTGCCTTCCTAAGGCCCCTGGAGTTGCCCCTCCTGGTTGGGGACCTCCCTCTGGGAACTGGGAGAGTCCCCCTGGAGGTCCCTTCATCCGGATCCGCACCTCCTGGGGATCTGGGCCTAGCATCCCTGCTCCTCGCCTCCTCCGCCATAGTACTTAAGTTGTGCTGACCACCAACCTCCTCTCTCCTTCAGCCGGTTTCAATCTGGTAGATTCAGTCTTCTGTCCCTGAATCCATGCTCTTCCTCTTTCTGCTGCTGATCTGCGGCCCGAGTCACCGGCAGGCACCGCTCTGGAGCCCTCCCTGGATTACTGGCAGAGTTGGTCCTTAAGGAAGCCTCTTCTGGCTTCGCTGGTGCTTTTTGAGCGCTTTCAGCATCCGTAGGGGAACACCGATCATGCGCTCACCCACGTGCTCAAGATGGCGGCGGCAAGATGGCGACCGCCGACCTGCGGTCCGAGTCTCCTCCTGGAGCTGGGGAGCGCTGGGATGATCTCCAATGGATCCCCGGACCTCCGCTG